GGTTGATAAAGTTTTTTTTTAATTTTACTTTTTGTATGTAGGGGTGCTTTTGTATGTGTGCATGTTTGTACCCCATGTTTGCTTGGTGTCAGAGGAGACCAGAAGACAACTGGATTACAGACTGTTATGGGCTGTCATGTAGATGTTGGGAATTGAATCCAGGTTCTCAAGAGTTCTTGTCTGCTGAGCCATCTTTCCAGCCTTGGTGTTTAAAGCTTTTGCTAAACAGCCCTATAACACAGGCTTAGGCCTACACTAGTATTTTTGTTGTGATACATTTATTCAGAAAATGACTAGTGCAGCACCTGTATACTTGGTATACCTGCATGAACAGTTGAAATGGTACATGGAAGAGTGCTGTCTGTGTTGCTGAAGGATTATTTCGTGTTTTTGTTTTGTTTTTCTTTCAGTGCCACTGAAGGAGAAGAAGCTTATGGAGGTTAAACTTGGAGAACTGCCAAGCTGGATATTGATGCGGAATTTCACCCCCAGTGGCATTGTGGGAGCCTTTCAGAGAGGTCAGTATCTTAATGGGTGTGAAGACAAAAGCACTACTCTTGTGTGCCGGTTTGTTTTTGTATGAGGTAGTCTGGGCGATAAAGGTTTTTTTTTTTTTATTTTCGAGACGGGCTTTCTCTGTAGTTTTTGGTGCCTGTCCTGGAACTAGCTCTTGTGGCTTGTGGCTGGCCTCGAACTCACAGAGATCCTCCTGCCTCTGCCTCCCGAGTGCTGGGATTAAAGGCGTGCGCCACCACCGCCCGCGCTCGGATAAAGGCTTTGGTGTCTTGAAATATATTGTTTTTGTAGAGGGGGTGATGATGGTGGTTAACTCCTGAATTTCTGTATTTGTATGAGCCTATCAAAGGCTGACTGAAGCTGGGTATGGTGGTGCATGTCTGGATCTCTGTGAGTTTGAGGACAACCAGGACTGTACATAGAGAAACTCTGTCTCAAAACAAAAAAAAGGCTGACTGAGTGGGCCAGGAAAGAGGCTTAATAGTGATGCATGAGGTCCTGAGTTGGGTTCCCAGTGCTCATGTTAAAAACAGTGTGTGCCTGTGCTTCCAGCGCTGAGGCAGAGATGGGAGGATCCCTTCCCGGAGCACACTGACTGCTAGTTAAGTCTAGCTAATTGGTCAGCTCTAAGTTGAGTGAGCTCCAAGTTCACCTGTCTCAAGACATGGTGGGGAGAGATACTGCCTGATGCCAACCACTGCCTCCACAGTCTCACATCTGTGAACGTGAGCGTGCACACACCATCTGCATACATACGCAAAGCAACAACAAAGGTGAGCTTTGAGATGTTTCAGCCTGGGAAATGTTTTATATTTTTTGAGGCTATTAGGCTCAAGCTAGCCTCGAATTTTTCTTAAACCTGCCTCAGTCTCCCAGGTAATGGTGCCACCATATCCAGCTAAAAATAATTTTATTGCTTTGGATCAATGCCTCTATCTTAGAGGAAACTGAAAATCCAGGTGTGGTTACACACACCTGTACTTCTAGCAGTAGGAAGCTGGAGGTAGGAGGGTCTAGAGTTTAGTGTCTGTCCACCTTTACCAAATTTGTTGGCCTGTGAAACATGAGACTCTAGTCTCAAAAAAAAAAAAAAGTTACAAACAAACAAAGACTTCTTTGAGAAAAGAATGAGTTTAAATCCTGGTGATCACCAGCCTGTATCATTATCATGCTCGTTCTTCTTCAAGCCTTCCTAAAACATTTTAAAGGGTCCATCTTGTGCATGCACTAAGTTCAGGATTGGTCAGATCTTTGATGGAGTCATGCATGGCCTCTGGCCTCCTCAGAAATACCCATTTTGCTAATCTGGCACCCCATGCTATTTTTTCCTGTGAGTTGGTCTGGCTTGCGGTTTCCCTCCAGTTCTGCCTTTTGCCCCCATGTCTGTTTACACTTGTCCAGGAAACTAATGTGGCCTATGCTCATAGCTCCTCCCGGGCAGTCCTTGCTATTTTAATTTTTTTTTTCCTTCTGGTTTTTCGAGGCAGTGTTTCTCTGTATAACTTTGGTGCCTGTTCTGGAACTCTCTCTGTAGGCCAGGCTGGCCTTGAACTCAGAGATCTGCCTATCTCTGCCTTCTGAGTTGCTGGGATTAAAGGCGTGCACCATTACTGCCCAGCGCTATTTAAAATTTTTAATGATACCTAGCCAAGGCCTCCATTTTGTTGTTCTGTTTTGTTGTTTGGCTCACACTATAATATAGCCATGACTGGGATAAAACTTGTAGACCAGGCTGCCTTAAACTCAAGAGATCTTCTTGCCTTTACCTCAGAGGTGCCTTTTTTATTGAAAGACAGGGTCTCAGGTAGGCAGGCCTCAAATTTGGTTTGTAACTGAGGATACCCTTGGACTTGTGATCGTTCTTGTCTCGCCTGACTCATTTCATCCTTTTTTACTAGAGTATGTTTATACCCTCTCTGGTGAATGCACCTGGCTGCTTATATTTAAGGCACTCAGTGCTGTCATGAATGGCTTGCTTAGTCAACCTAGCTGGCTCTGGTGATGTGGTCCTTATTGGGGGTTGGAATCTGGGGCAGAATTAGAATAAGAGTCCCAGACTGGAGTTGGGGGTGAAGCAGGAGCAAAAAAAATAACAAGCTGAGCCAAACCTACAAAGTTAAAGCCAAAGGAAGTATAGATGCCCTGTTAAGTGGGCCTGTGCTCTGGGGCTAGTCTTGGGTCATGGAGACAGAATCCCACAGTCCACTGTTATTAGTAAGTGTAGGGTGGGTTGCTGAGAGAGCCCAGGGATCCCACTGTACACTGTCTCAGAAGCATTGGCAGTAAGCACTTCCTCTGTTGCAGGTTATGACCGGTATTACAACAAATACATCAATGTGCGGAAAGGCAGCATCTCGGGGATTAACATGGTGCTGGCAGCCTATGTGGTTTTCAGCTACTGCCTTTCTTACAAGGAACTCAGTAAGTGCTCTGGCATGACCCAGCTTCCTGTTAGCCGGGAGGCTGGTGTTGACTGGCTTTGTTCACCTAATCAGCAGTGGAGCTTTGGGTGCTCCTTACCTGTCCGTCCACCTGGGAGGGTTACAGGGATTATAGTAGTGTGGCATGTATAACACGGTTTTAAGTGAGGAGCCTATGAAAAAGAACACAGGAAAAATAAGTTGGAATTAGCCTGAAGTTTAAATTTAGTGCTTGGGAAGCATACTATACAATGCTGAAAGCTAGCTTATCCTCCTAGCAGCTGTGAAGATGGTAGTAGGTTTGGTAGTACAGTGCTCTGGCAAAGCACAGCTACTTCTCAGTCTCAGCTACTCTTAGTCTTAGGCGGGTGAAGCCTGATGGCAGACTGGGGACACCAGCCTCTGGGATTCCCGGCTGCTCCTTATTGGACCTAGGCAATACTTCTAGTGGGGGGCCTATTAAAGATACCAGCGTAGCCATCTAATACATGGGAAATTAGCCAAATGGCAGGAAGAAATGTACGGGAAGGGCTGGCATGACTGTGGCCTGTTGCCATCACTCTCCGGTGCTTTCACTGGAACACATGGTAGCAGACTGTTTTTCCTAACCGTAGAACATGAGCGGCGACGCAAGTACCACTGAAGAAGGTCACTATGAGGGGACCGCACACCCGAGCATAAGCGCCTCTCCTGTGCCCATCCATGAAGAACTCAACTGGCTGGATCTTCATGTCCTAAGAATTAGTGCCCAATAAAAGGTGACTGACTGGTTCATGTACTGCTGGCCTGGTGTGGTCATTGTTCTGTGCTCCTGTACCCTTGTCACACAGCCCAGGACTTTGGCTCATGAAGGCCGTGGGCTCTGCACACTGCTGTGTGCTTGGGATTGTGTCCCAGCTCACTGTGGGGCAGCATGTCACCTGGGGTTTCAACTGTCCAGAGGCCTGTTCTCTGCCATAAGCACTGTGGCTGTGCATGAACCCTGACTCATTACAATTTGGGGCGGGGGGAGGAAAGATCTCTTAGCTCTGGATGTGATGGGCTCAGTGTCTGCCTCTGCCTTCACAGTGCTAGGATCAAAGATGTGGCCTACCACACCTGCCTCTTTAAAGAAATTTTGTGTATGAGTATCTTTTTTTTTTTTTTTGGTTTTTCAAGACAGGGTTTCTCTGTGGTTTTGGATCCTGTCCTGGAACTAGCTCTTGTAGACTAGGCTGGTCTCGGAACTCACAGAGATCCGCCTGCCTCTGCCTCCCGAGTGCTGGGATTAAAGGCATGCGCCACCACTGCCCAGCCTTGAGTATCTTCTTTGCATGTCTGTATATATGTGCACATGTGTGTCTGATACCCACAAATATCAGAAGTTATTGAATCCTTGGGAACTGGAGTTACACAGTTGCCATATGGGTGTTGGGAATAGAACCCAGGTACTCTATTAAGATCAGCTTATTTTGAGTATGAGTATTTTCCTCTCATGTGTGTGAGTATACATGCACCATTTGTGTTCCTGGTACTACAGAGGAAGGTTTGAGATCCTCTGGAACTGGAGTTGTAGATGGAGTTGTGGATGCTAGGAATCAAACAAGGGGCCTCTGAAGAACAGCCAGTACTTGTAATTAGTAAGCCATCACCCCAGCCTACTCCTGGACATCTTAACAATGCAGGGGGTTTGGGGATAACGCAAGCGCTCACCAACCCTTCTTTTCTGCACGAGGACCACCAGCGCACTGGTGAAATGACCAGAACTGAAACCTTGGGGATGGGTAATGAGATGTGCAGGCCTTCCTGAAGCAAGCTCACCACTCTACCTGAACACTTACCATTCCAGTCTCTTCAAGATTTAAGGCCAAGCTACTAATTCCTTATGGGAGTGGAGGAGAGGAAGGGAGAATACCCACTGCATAGAGCCTACATAGAGCAAGGACTGGCTTGACAACTAGGTTATCAAAGGTAATGTGAGGTACCATGCAAAGTCCCTTTCCAGCAGCAGTCACTTCTCTTTGTGAGATTGACATCTGCTAAACAGGAAGCTCCTCAGGAGTCCCTAAAGTAATGAAACATAGGTTAAAAACCAAGCTTTTTAATCAACTTCATAAAAAGTATTGTAACTGAACTCAGATAGGCCCACTCGCCCAGCAGGTTGCAGGTGATGGATTCACATTTTCTAGGCTCAAGGATGGGTGGCCTCTGCATGCCACAGGGGTCTGAATGACAGCACAGAGCTTGCTTGGCAGGAGGTAGGCGCAGATCAACTGGGTCAGCTATGTAAAAGTGGTTTGCAGCACTGGCTGAAGGTGGACCTGAAGCACTGTCAGGTAGGTGCTCCACAAGAAAGCAAGCCCAGAAAAGTAGCTCAGCGTGGGAGCCTGACACCTTTCAAAGAGCCAAGGCCAAGCCAGGCAGTGAATGCTCCAAGCTTGTCAGGAAGGGCTCCCTTGTTCAAGTCACATTCATAGGCACAGCTTGAGGTTTCAGCTGGACATGGAGAAAGCAGGCTGACCTGGCCACAACCCCACATGAGCTACCCATCCTCTCCAGGTGCTGGTGTTTAATGAGGCCCTCTGATGGGAGATGCTGGCCATCTTCCACACAGGACCAAGAAGCACAGCTTCTCTCTCCCCAAGAGGGCAGAATGCAGGGAGTCCAATAAATGAGGCACTGACGTCCAAGCAAACTCTGGCTCAGGGGACCCCACTGAAGCATATGTTCCTTCTTAAAAAAAAAAAAAAATTACTGCAAAATGACAGGACAGACAGGACCCCTCAAAAGGAGTCCTGGCAGGTGTGCCTGCGGCTCTAGCCAAAGTCCTGACAGCACTACATTCAGCAGCTAAGTGCTTGTTCCCAACAGCATGGCTCTCAGGCTGCTCCGGATTCCAGCTGCTGTCACTGTCCACTGAGAAAGGCCAAATGCCCTTTGGTGCATCTGTTGGCATAGTGTCCTTTTTCGCCACACTGGGAACATGGGGGAAGGAAAGAGAAAAGCATGAGAGTTGGGAAGCTAACGCAGTGCCCACCAAGTTACAGCCTGTGAAGAACTCAGAAGAGGCAATGAAGCAGGCACGGGGAGCAGATCCCCAGCCCCACCACACCTGCCCAACAGGGGCTCCCACAGCAAAGAGCTCCCCCACCGGCCCTCCACAGGGCAGGCCAATCACCTTACCTCTGAGCTGGTAAGGTCTGGGATTCCTAGAAAAGATAGGAGGGACCAACCCGACAGAAGCCACCAGGCTCCTGCCCCAATTCAGGGAGCCATTGCTGAGAACACTGAGGTGGCCTATGTCTGAAGCTTTCCCTCCTGAATATTTTTTTTAAATGTTTATTTATTTATTATGTATACAATATTCTGTCTGTGTGTATGCCTGAAGGCCAGAAGAGGGCACCAGACCCCATTACAGATGGTTGTGAGTCACCATGTGGTTGTTGGGAATTGAACTCAGGACCTTTGGAAGAGCAGGCAATGCTCTTAACCTCTGAGCCATCTCTCCAGCCCCACTCCTGAATCTTGTCTACATTTCTAAGCTATCTGAGGACAGGCTTTGATCACAGGGCCAGAGCGAAGGGCCAGTCCTGGAGAAGGTATTGTGTCACCTGACAGAGCTATCACTAACCCTAACTTAGCCCTTTTATAGTGCCTGCTCTTGTACCGCCTCAAAAGAGAATTATTTAAAAGTGAACAGCAGTGTTGGCCTAGCACTGAACAAATGGGCAAGAGATGGCCGCGGACCACAACTCTGTGTTGATTCCCATCAGGTTGGCATGCCCATGCTAGCTCAGTCCTGGCTTCCTTAGTGGCAGTCTGTCAGTACCCAGTACTTTTTCTTTTCTATTCTAACCCTCCCCCCACTTTGAAACAAGGTCCCACACTGTATAGCCCTGGCTAGCCTAGCTCACAGATCTGCCTGCCTTTGGTTCCCAAGTGATTGGTTTAAAGGTATGTGCTACCATACCACCACTCAGATGTGGCTTCTGTGTGGATGAGTAGTCTAGATAGCATCCAGTCCAACCCTTGGACTGGTATGACCACCAGGAAGCCCCACTCCCTGGACCTGGCACATACACTTATCTCCATAGCTGGTCCTAGGGAATGCAGACTCTTTCAAGTCATTTAATATGGACAGTATACCACACCCATGGTAGGGAGCCCTGTACTCTCAGAGTCTCAGGACCTGAGTGTCTGCTTCATAGAGGAGACACTGCTGCACGGTGATCAATGGGAGCAAAATGACAGCTAAGCTGATATTGACAGCTAAGCTGATATTGGATGCTGTCTTTGAGAAATTACCAGGAAAGCTCTTCTTCCCCAGCTCCACCATGTCAGAGAAAGTGGGGAGATGTGAGGTCAGCGAGCTTAGGGCACTTGAATCCACACACATCTTTCCTTTGAGTTTTCTGTAAATGCTTGCCTCCCCCCACTTCCACCTGTAGAGCAGGGTATCAAACAATGCCTGGCTGTCTGGCACTGCCCTAGGCCATGGTCTTACCTAAAGCCATGTATATAAGCATCCTGTGATTCAGAACTTCCAGCAAAAATCAGATGCCAGTAGATATTAGACAAGAATTAACTAATACTCAAGTATTCAAATCAGTGCTATTGTTAGGAACAAAAGCCATCAATAATTTGTCTTTTAACAGAACTGGTGAAATAAGTTGTGGTTATGTAGCCTTTGAAAAAGATCAGGATTTCCATGTGTAGCCATGGAATGAGCCTAAGAGAATGTTATGTAGATTAGGCTTGCTCTAGGAATGTATGTGTGTGCACACGTAGATACTACTTCTAGTATTTTTTTATGCATTTGTGTGTGTGTGTGTGTGCGCGCAGGCTTACATATACAAGCCCACATACGACATGGCATTCTTTCTCTCTACTTTACTGAGGCAGAGTCTCAAATGAACCTAGAGTTCACCTAGCTCTGGGACCTTGTATTCACTAGTGAGCTGGATAGGCAAGCTGCCATGCTCACCTGAGATGTACAGGTGCTAGGAATCCAAACTCTGGTCCCCAAGATTACAAAACAAATGTCTTACCCACTGAGCCACCTCCCACACATGAAGTCCTCATGCTGACACCCCACCATGTGGGACATTTCCCAGCATATTTTCTGTTTTTTTTTAATCACAAGTTTATCCTTCAGAACTCTAGCTGTCGATATATCCCTCAGAGCAGGAGGGGATTTGTTTCTGCCAGGTGGCAATGGCAGACCCTCAAGTTTTTAACCTTTCAGCTCTTACCAAAAGATACAAACACAAGTTCACATTCACATAAGGTCTAGCAAGCAACTACAGATTCTCATGAGACTCTCTGCCATCTATCACTCAGAGTTCATTTCTTGTATAGACTGGTGAGTGTTCCTAATCCAATTCCTACTAGTGTAGGCCTAACGCTTTGTCCTGTTCCTTTGGCATGCACACATAGGCTGCTTTGAGCATCATTCTACCCTGAAGCATTTCCATTTTCTTTCTCTACCTTTTTTGGAAATTCTCACTTCAAAGCACAGTGTACTTATTCAACAACACGTGTACCTTCTTCTACCCCGTCTTGGCAGTACAGGAAGTAGGATGGTGATTAGCCCACCACAGTGGCCCACCTTCACTCTTCAAACCAGCAATAACACTTCTGAGGAGGGAGGGAATGACCACTAACTGAAGACTCTACCCCGTACCCCAGTGATCCCCACCCCATCCTTGAGACTCACCTTGTAGCAAGTGACTTGCTCCAACGGCCGGGGTCCCCGGTTGCCTGCACTGCTGTTTTGACTCTGCATGACCCCAATGACCTGAGGGGCTCTCTGCTGATTGGGAGAAGAGTTCTGACTCGTTAACTGGATCAAGGAGGACGACCTTTGTAATGGCGGATTGTTACTTTGCTGGAAAGAGTTACACAACACGGTTTTACTGCGGAAAACACGTGCACGCGGACTACCAGTGGGGACGGAAAAAAAGAGGACGGGACCTCTCCTGCATGACCAGCAGGAAGAGGGCTTCTGCAATGGCCTGCCCCAGGAGAGTGGGCCGGAAAGAAAGTTCTGGTGATGATGGCAGGAGCTGCTGTCCGAAAAACACCATGCAGACACACAAAAACGAGAACTAAAAGTAGAAAAGAAAACATGGAAGAGACAAGAGGAAGTCTCTGGGCAGTGGGGTGAGGGCATGATCAGGCCTTACTTTTGTTTCTGAGGTTCTAGCTTCAGGTCAGGATGAACGCTTGGTTCAGCCAGATGTTTAGCAGCCTACACGGCGAGCAACAGTCACAGAAAAACAGTTGGAGCCTGACACGCTGGCCTGCAGTCTAGGGGCTGAGAGGGCCCTCCTCTAGGGAGTCACATGGGAAAGGGGAGTGGGGCTTTTAAGTAGGGATTCCAGAGCAAAGCACCTCCAACCAGATGGCGTCTTGACTCTGACCCAGGAAATGTCAGGCTAGAGCTATGAACCCCCAGGCTATCAATTGCATCAGGGACTGTCTGGCTTTCCTCAGGAAGTCTGATTTCCTTGGTGCCACCATCTCCTGACAGTGGGGGGTCTGTGCAGGCCCCTTCAGACTCTGGCACTGGAAGGACTAAAATGGGATGTAGTAGTAGCTGACTTAAAAGCCAGCTAAACCAAACCAAGTCAAGGCTTCAGGAGGGCAGTTAGCTGATGTAGAGACTTGCTTAAGGCCCTGCCTGTTGTGCAGGCCAGCCCTTCCCCTGGGCCTAATGGCCCACTCCTGTCAGCAAGCCCAGGGTGCCCTGGTTTGAGCACTACATACATCCCCATTTATCCATGGCATTTCTCTCTTTCCTTATGCTTAGGGATAAACACTGGATTGGGCTGGCTAGTCTTATAAATGTCTGTGACCATAATCCCCACAGGAGCCACACTAGCACTGGCCAGTTATCAGACAACCTTGGTTGTGTTCAACTTCTGCCATTGCTTGGCAGTAGCCCATCAGGTAAATCACTCCCTGCAGGAGGCCAAGTTTCCTCCTTTGTAAAGGGAAGGTTCTGGCTCAGAAGAACAGCCAAACGTGGGCCAGCCCCTGAGCCCTTGCTCCCAGTTCCCAAGGCAGAGACCACTGAGTCACAATTGCACAGTCCCATGCTTATGGTGACTCTGCTACATGAACTTATCTCCCACCTACTCTGGGGCTTGCTGCCCTCCATTTCTGAAACAAGCAAACTGCTTTGCTCTGATTTTTCTGTCGCAATGAGAAGGTACATCACCTCTCTCCTGCCTTCCCCTTTGCCCTCCTCACAAGGTCCCCCCAGTGGGGTTTATAGCAGACCTCACACTGAGTGGATAATGAGACCATCTCTGCAGGCCAATGTGGCCAGAGAGGAACCAGGGTACAATACCTTTGTTGGAGGCTGCGTCTGCTGTGGTAGTGGGGGCTGCTCAGTGGTTCCCATGGGCAGTTCAAATCGAGGGCTGGTCCGAGAAGACAACGGGGCATGAGAGGAGACAGATCAGGCGGTGTCTGAAAGCTACACTTACCCTCTCAGCAAACAACCCAGAGTTTAAGACACAGTGAGACTGGCACAAAAGAACTGACGGTGGAGCCCTTGGGCAAGCGCTGCTCTAAAGGAAGGCGTGGCCATCCTGGTACTTGTGCTGTGCAGGAGAGGGAGCATACATGGAAGATCCTTTCCCTCCTGACAATGCACAGAAACACTTGGTGACAAGCAAGCATCCCTGGACCAGATGCAAGCTCCAGGGCTTTCATAGAGGAGCAGGACCTACTAGTGGCAGCACTGGCCACTTGCCTTCAGTAAGGCAGGGACCACAGGGCAAACCAGGCAACTATACAACTGCTGCAGGTTGGGTAATGTGGACCAAAGCAGCAGAGGGAGGGAAGGCTTCGTCAGTCCCCATGTTACTTCAGACAGAAGCTCAGATCCACAACTACCAAGTTAACAAGTGTGCCTTAGACTCTCAAGGTCACAGCTCAGGGAAGGTTAAATGCTGGGCTACACAGAGCTCCTTTAGGCTCTCCAAGTAGAAGGGGCAGCAGACATAGCAGTGGATCCTCCACACCTCTCAGCTCTACCCAGACCCTAGGGTGGATACCACCCAGAAACCAAAGCCAAGGTGCACCTAGGATGTACTCAGAGGGCAGCAGCAGAGCTGGTACCAGGATACTCACTGCATGAATTTACATGAGGGTCCCTCAGGGCAGAATCCCACGAGGTAATTCACACAAATGACTCTCCGAGTGTGCCGATGCCTACACAGGGGACCTGCAAAACCCAGCATTCAGGTCATTCAGACTTCCTTTCAGTGAGACAATGCTTAAGTGTTCCACTATCAGTCAGAGCTCTGCTTAGAGAGCCACAGTGTAGCTTCAAAAGCTGGCTACCTTTCTTATTCACAGGGGACAGTGTGCAGCACCCCAGCCTCTCCATGCTGAGCTTATCAAAAGTGCAAGCAGGAACACCATGCTCACAGCTTCCTTGGGAGGCTTGAGGGAAATGAAGGGTACTAAAATGCCCCACAGCCATGCGTGATGGCACCCACCTGAAATCCCAGCACTTGGGAGACCAACCAAAAAGAACTGAGTTTAAAACCAGCATGTAGGCTATACAGTAAAACACCTGCCATAAGGCAAACAAACAAACAAACAAACAAACAGCCTCACTGGCCCCAGTAGGTCAGGTTTGCTGAGCCAGGTAGGGCTGAGGAAGTGATGTCCCAAGAGGATCATCTGGTAGTCTTGGGGATTAGGTGGGCCTGAGGAGGCCTCCTGTCACCTACCGTGTTTACAGAAGCCACGGTCATACCAAGGGCAGTCCTTGATCTTGGACTCAGGGTCGATGTGCAGGAAGGGGCACTCCTTGTTGCTGCATTCCCCTGCAGGAAATGTGGACACATAGCCTCATGGAACTGTGCTGGGACTGGCTCCTAAAGCAATGGGATCAGGTGGTTCTAGTGTCATGTACTAGCAGAGAGCAGTCTGTGGGGCTGTGACAAGTCCTGCCTTCACACACATCGCTGCTGCTGAGAGGGTACCAGAACAGCTGACTCTGGGGGCATCCCTAGGTGGCGGGAGACCAGATTCAAGTGTATCCACCGAGACAGGACTGTTGATTCTTCACATCTATGAGCTGTCACAGAGAAGGTTTGAGGAACTCTGACCTTTAGGAGAAACATTAGGAGAACTACTTGGGAGTTAAAGCTGGGTCTCTGTGGTGGCATGGGTATGCCTTACTGAAGATAACATGTGTGGACCAGCACCTCTCAGGAGCTTCAGGTGCTGGACCCCCAGCATGAGGATACACCTTCACACTGCCCTCTGCAATCAACGTTAACACATTCTACTTACAGAGCAGAGGAATGGCCCAGTCCACTTGCTTGCTTATAGACCCAGTGCCCTTCACCTAGCCACAACTGCTTCCCTGTTGCCCAAGATGAATCCACAGCCACTACTAGACCTTTCTTAGCCTTTAGCTCAGGACTTCCCTCTGGGATCTTCCTAGTTCACTCTGCTGAAGCCAATTCATATCTTACACAGAATTTCCCATGACTAATTCTCTATTATTCCCCTTGTTTACCAAATAATTAGCTAACTCTGGGCCACTGGAGCAAACCTCTAGCAGGCAAGGAAAGGTCTGTCCCTTAAACACCTCGAGGGAGAGGATCCTCAAGACAAGTGTTGCCCACCTGCCAGCAGCTGCAGTGCAGCTGGGCCCTGCTGCTATGGGTGACAGGGTGGGAGATGGTATGATATGGATGTGGCAAATGGGACAAACTTGAGAAGGCAGGAAGCTAGGAAGCCTCAATTCTATTTCTGACCATTTTGATCTCTTAGCTTATACTGCTTCAAAAAACAAGACAAAACAGGCAAGAGTTATCACTATTGATAAATAAATGTCATTAAGAAAAAAAAAAGAAAAAGAAGAAACTAAGGCACCAGCATCCAAAGCCAGGCATGGTGACTCTCACCTGTTAGCCCAGCACTTGGGAGACCGAGTGAGGTAGGGGGGTCCACTGAATAGTGAAAACAAACTATGCATAGTAAATTACAGCTCAATATAGAGAAAACCCAGTCTAAAAAAAACCAAAAACCCACAATAATAACAAACCCCAAGCCTGTTGGGATGCTGGAATAACCAGTGTCTCCTCTAGTAACAGTGCACTGAAAGCTCAACACATGCCCAATACTCAGCTTATCTGGAGCCTCCTGACTTTATTCTTGGCAGTGTACAAGACCTGGGGCTGAAGAAGCCCTTGATAACCATCAGAATTTCCTGAGACACCACTAACAGCAGACCAGAGCAGAGACCCTGGGGACTAAGTTCTGTACCAGCTCTACCACTTCCACTCTGTCCCTGCTTCTTTATGCAGCTCACCCCAAACAGTAGGAGCCTCATGATCTCTAATCAGAGCTCAAAACAATCTTAGTTTTATGGGAAGAGTCGGTTCATTTTCACAAGACAGCCCCAGACTTGCTATTACGAGGAATGCTGGGATAGCCACGCTATTGCCTAGGATCACACTCCCAGAGAGAAGGAAGAAACTCAGGCTGGGGGTGATCGGTGACCATGCCAGGAGATGTGGATTTCAGGGGCAAGGCTGCCATGAGCAGAGACACTTATTGCTTATTCACTGGGGACCCCTGTTAGTCTCAATATCTCAGAGTGCTCCAAAACCAGAAGTGCCACAAGGACATGAAGCTATTACACAATGGTCTTGAAGCTATGACAGAGCACAGAAAACAATATCATTCCCTTACTGACTGAAGAACTAGCTCAGGCTGCCAGGCTCTGCCCCAGAGCCGAGCCTCCCAGGATTCTACGTGCCTTACCGAACTTGGAGTAAAAGTAGCACTCGGGCATCTTGGTCATGTCGTACTCATGCAAGAACTCGCACTGGTCCCCTTTCTTGCACAGTCCTCTCAGCCAGTGTTTGCATACAACTGTCTTCTCACCACTAATGTGCCGGAATGGACACATGCCCCCTGCCAAGGAAGAGTGAAGAGATACATAGGTTCAGGTGGAAATGAACCCAGCGGGAGCTGGAGAGCTGCCATCCTACACTTTGAACCACCAGCAGCGGTATCTCAGGAGAAGGCAATGTAGATTTAGGTGGCAAACCAGCAAACACTACACTTTATAGGTATGTAGGTGTCTGCAGGGGCCAGAAAGTGGGGGAAGGTGTCAGATCCCCTGGAACTGGAGTTACAGAGGGTTGTGAGAGTCATGTGGGTGCCGGGAATTGGACTTCGGTCTTCTGGAAGAGCAGTCAGTGATCCTAACTCTGGAGCCATTGCTCTAGCCCACTTTATATTTTAATAGCCATGTATTTGAGTTTAAAGTATTTTAGAAAAACCCAACTAAAATATGGCCGTGATGTGGGCTATCCTTCTGTACACCATGAATGTGCTGTTCTCATTGGTTGATAAATAAAGCTGATATGGTCTATAGCCAGGCAGAATAAGATTGGGCAGGAAAGTCAAACTGAATGCAGGGGGAGAAAGGAGGACAGAGTCGAAAGAGACACCAGTAAGCAAGTCAGCCAGCCGCCAATGAAGTAAGACCTGTAAAAAAATAGGTAACAAGCCAAGAACGACGTGACAAAGCAGATTTAAAAATGGGTTAGTTTAAATGTAATAAGTCTGAGTCACTGGCCAAGCATTTTTAAGTAATACTAAGCCTGAGTGGGCCAGGTGGTGGTGGTGGCGGCGGCGGCGCACGCCTTTAATCCCAGCACTAGGGAGGCAGAGGCAGGCGGATCTCTGTGAGTTCGAGGCCAGCCTGGTCTACAAGAACTAGTTCTAGGACAGGAACCAAAAGCTATGGAGAAACCCTGTCTCGAAAATCAAAAAAAAAAAAGCTGCCGGCAGTGGTGGCACATGCCTTTAATCTTAGCACTGGGGAGGCAGAGGTAGGTGGATCTCTGAGTTTGAAATCTGATCTACAGAGTGAGTTCCAGGACAGGCTCCAAAGCTATACAGAGAAACAAACTCTGTCTTGAAAAACCAAACCAAACAACAACAACAAAGAAAGATGAGTTAAATTAAATGTAAGAGCTAGTTAGCAATAAGCCTGAGCCATTGACCAACCATTTATAATTAATATTAAGCCTCAAAATGGTTACTTGGGAACTGGAGGGTGTGAGAGAAACCTCCAGTTACACTGAAGGGTGTTATGGCACACACCTTTAAGCCCAGCACCTGCGAGATAAAGGCAGATGGATCTCTGTGAGTTTAAGGCCACCCTGGTCCATATAGGAAGTTTCAGGCCTAACAGCCCTACGCGTTGAGACCATGTCTCAAAACAAAAACAACAAAACACTAAAACATCATCTCATAATTTCACAGACACTAGCATAAGACAGATACATAAGAAGTCTCGGGTGGGTCAGCTGGTTTCTTAAACAAAAAACAGTTCTGGTGGTACACAGGTAAAAAAGTATGCCTTACAGGATAAAGAGGGCCATTAGCAGAATCCCAGACTCCAGGGAGGCCATGTCCTATGAAAAATGCCTCAAGATTAATATCAGCTTTATAACTGAAGGGATATGACAATGCATAAACAGGAGCAGTGTCCTTCTGCAGCAGGATAGGGTAGTGTCTTACCCCGATGGGACAGACCATCCTCTGGGGATGTCACACTTGTAACTGATAGCTTGCCAGAACTGCTGGCAGGTCTGCTGAGACTAAGGCTGTGACCAAGAAAGATGAGACCAGCCCTGATCAGAAGAACTTTTGGCCACAATGGAAAGAAATGCTCTACACCTTCACTATCCAGAAGAGCAGCCACTAGCCTCGTGTGACTGGTGAGCATCTGAGTTCACAGCAGTGTGACTGAAGAACTATGCCTAAAGATTTTGATTGGTCAGCACATGTATGTAGCTAGCAGCTATGGGACACCTACAGTACCATAAATTAAGGATAGCTTTACAGCACAAGATGGGTGGTCATATTCCTAGGAAATTTCAGGACACATTATCTGGGGAACTGGGAATCCCTTTTGGGAATACTTAATCTAATTAATAAAGGAATTTAAAAATGGACTCAAAAGGAAGCCAAGGACAAATTTATTGAAGTTTAAGAAAAAACAACAGCCCGCCAACATCTGTCAAGCTACCTAAGACTCAGAGGGCACAGTAACTGAGCAAACATTTGGGAATGAGATCAGGATGCAATGACCAGAAACCATGAAGTCAAGCTATTTGGTCTACCTCCAAGGCCTTCTGCTTCAGCAGCAAGTAACTGCATTGTGGAGTCCAAATTCGCTAGACTCTCATTCAATTTACCTATCCAAACCATCCCTTTGCTCTGGGTCTTGCTCACTATTTAAGTTTATGATTAAAATTAGTTTCCTAAATAAATTTCCAGAGGGAGGAAGATGCCCAGGTGTATGCATGACACATAAGGTTTTGCCCACTATTACCTATGAATCAATGGATAACCAGGCTCCCAGAGCCTCTGTGGAGGTCTGGTTAGTGTCAACAAGACCCCAGAAGAAAGAAGCCATTGAAAAACAACGTGTACACACTGGAATTATGGAAAAAAAAGGTCTGTATTCAAACACTGGGTGCTGCTACGCGTAATTCTGGAAACTTGAGAAGTTCCTGAAAGCCTCTATGTCCCCAATGCCCATGTCTGAGAAGGTTGTGACACAAGAAAGCAGCCTTTAAGTTAGGCAGGCTCAGTCTGTGTTTAAGTTTTGGGCAGAACCATCCTCCTGGCCTATCAAAGCCATAGCTTCATTTAGGGACACCTACCTACAGAAAGCAAAACAAGCAGACCTGGTGGCCTGTAAGTCTGCTAGCAGACAAAGTCGGGGACCTCAGAAGGACACGAGGAAGTCAAGATTTTCTTACCTTTGCCACAGGCAGCTTTCAGAAAGAATTCACAGACAGCAGCCCCCGACTCTGTAAAAGGAAAGAGCTCGTTATCAACAAAGCCAGGTGCCAATGGGAGGCTCTTAGGATCTCTAATCCAGGGTGTAGTGAGCTGGCAAAAACTACAAAGCTCATAACTGGCATGGTGGCGCACACCTTTAATCCCAGCACTCGGGAGGCAGAGGCAGAGGCAGGTGAATCCCTGTGAGTTTGAGGCCAGCCTGGTCTACAGAGTTAGTTCCAGGACAGCTAGGACTGTTACACAGGGAAAAACTGTCTCAAAAAAAGAGGCAGAGGCAGACGAATCTCTGAGTTCTAGGCCAGCATGGTCTACATACTGAGTTCTAGACCAGCTAGGGCTACAGAGTTACACCCTGTCTCAAAGCAAACACTACTTGTTTAAGTCAAACCCGTGAAATGTGACCTGTATGGTGGGAAACAAACACGATGTTCTTTCTGAGATCTTCTTGAAAGCCCATAGCTTCCAAGATATTTAAGAGTGGGTGGAAAAGGCAAGAAGGAACACAAGCTCACAGAAATGTTAATTACCCCCAGCTCATACCTCCTAGGAGAGTTAATTTACAGGTACATTAAGACGGAATGAATGGTCTCACAAGAAATAACAACGAGTATATGACGCTTCTAAGCAGGGACAGATTCCAGAACAGGCAGGTGCCTCGGAGACACTAGCTTAGTAGAATGTAAGTGAAGAAAGACTAAAAAGCAGGCCAGCCCTTAATATGCAAGGTCCACATGGAATTACAAAGGAGCGCAGCCTTTCATCCCCACTGGTGCAGGCGGCTCTGGGAGGGTAGTAAAACTACGTAAAACTACAGAGTCAGGATGCAGTGGCAGTCAGTTGGGCCAGGGCCATCTATTCTGTTGAGTTTGGAAATTCATCAGCCACGACTGCCGAACAAACAATTCTTGGTTTCATAAACAGTTTCCACTGATCTATCAGCATGCATTTCTAGAAAACAAACTTAAAACAAAACAAAACAAAACAGAAACTGGAGATGGTGTTCCTTAAGCCACTCCAAGTGCCTCTTGCCAACTTCCAAGAGATTCAGCGGCCTCCCAGAAGCAGGCAGGTTCTGCTAGGTCAGAGTTAAAGTGGTAGAATGTAAAGACGCTGCTGGGCATGATGGTGTACACTGGTGATCCCAGTACCTAGGAGAAGGAAACTGAGGCAGGAAGATCTCAGCCAGCCTTGGCTATATAGCCCGACTGCCTCAAATACAAAAGCAAACAAAATAAATAAGGGAAAAAAAAGGCTGGAGATGTAGCTCAGATGGCAGAGTGCCCGAGAAGCACACACAAAGATCTGGGTTCAGTCTAGCACTACAGAAATTGGGAGTGAAGGTGTGAGGAGGATCAGGACTTCAAGGGCATCCTTGGCTACACAAGGAATTCCAGGCCAGATCAGACTACCTGAACCGGTCTCAATACAAACAAAAATACCATCTCAGAGTATTTGTGATCTTTCTTTCTATATCGTAGTTGGTTTTGCCTCCTTCTTTAAGGTCAGAAATCCAGTCATGGGGATTGAGAGGATGGCTAATTCTTCGGGGCAGAATTTATATTTCTCAAAGAGCATCACCACTGAACCAGTAAGGAGGGTCTGTAGCCTTACTGGGTTTTGGCATACTCAACACAACCACAAGACGAAGTGAAACCACAAGACAAAGCTGGAGAAGTACCCAAGTTATGCACATCCCCGACTCTCCAAGGAAGGAGGCATAAGAAGGGCTTACTACTGCGCACCTGCCTCCACAGGCTTGTGGATCTGTGGTGATGGGTGGAGAAGAGCTGCCCCACACATACTGTCCCATGGTCTCAAGGTAGTGCCATTAAGTCAAACAAACGCCGACTGTCTGTGGACATAAAGTCTATGCAGGAACGACCTGGCCAAAGACCGGATCTGAACTGGAGAGGCTCCCCAAACGAAAGATATCCCACCAGCATGGGAAAACAGTCATCATTTAAAGAGGGACAGTAGAGAGAAGGGTTTCCCCAGGGGTCTCTGTTGGGTGGGGCAGGAGACCCTGAGGTGAGTGCCTGGAGTGAAGGTCTACTCAACAGCCACTTCTGACCAAGTTAAGAAAGGAGCGCTCCAAGAGGTGGAAGTGGGAGACGTTCTAGGGCTTTGCTCTAGCTGGAGCAGGGTGGGAGAGGGGAGTCCCATTTCAGGATCACTCGAACTACTGACACGGTCCTGCTGTCCCGAGGGCTGCCCCCGGGAATCAAGGATCCAAGGAAAGGGTTCCCGAGTTCCACTGACAATGGGACATCCCAAGACGGAAGAGGAGGAGCTGAGCGAAGGTGAGGTTCCCGCGACTCAGGGCAGAGGGAACTCCTGGTCAGAATCGGCGTCGCCCACCCCCCAGGGCCCCGTGCTCACTGTCCATGCCAGGAAAGGGCAGCGGCTGCGCCCCGAGCTGCTGCTCCACGGCGATCTCCAAGTCGAACTTGATGTGGTCCACGCTGGCGATGATTTCCTGCATGGTGGCGGCGGCGGCCTCCGGCCCGGCTCCCCCTCAGGTCTCTCAGCCGCCCTCCCCACTTCACCCGGCACTCCGCCGTGCCCTCCTTCTCGCCCGCCGCCGCCACCGCCCCGCAAGGGATGCCGGGAGCGCCCGAGCCCGCGTGCCGGCCCCCACCCAGACTCAACCAATAGAGAGCGGAGTCCTACCGCTCCTTCAGGCCCGCCTAGCCGCTGGCCGAACGCTCTTCTCTTTGGGTCAGTAATCCGAAAGAACGTGTGAGGGCGGGACCGCAGGCGCGTGTGGCGAAGGGAAGAAAGTTGATTGGGGCCGAAACCCTGCGACCCCGAGGACGCCTTAAGGTGCTTCGAGGCGCACGTCTCTCCGAGTGACTTCTTGTTCAACCCTCGTAGGAATCCCGGGAGCCAGGCCGAAATTGGAGCCACGGGACTGTCCAAGCCGGCGCCGTCGGTCACGTGAGAAAATCCACGCTCTGAAGGCCTGGGGAGGGGGAGGCAGGGGCGGCCCGAAGGTCCCAGGCCCCCCGACGGCTGGATAGCCTCCACGTATCTCTAATTCAAAGGTTTAAAACTCAGGTAAGGAGACTGGACATGTGGCTCAGTTGGCAAAGTGTTTGCCTCAGCTCCTAACATAAACCGGGAATGTTGGAGCATACTTTTAATGCCAGTAAATGGCAAGTGAAGGCAGGAAATCAAAAGTTCGAGGCCAGCTTGAATTACAGGAAAACCTGGAGGGAGACTCAACCTTCTAATAGAGCTAGGATTTAAAATGTTTATCGCCAGCCGGGCGGCGGTGGCGCACGCCTTTAATTCCAATACTGGGGCGGCAGAGGTAGGAGGATCTCTGTGAGTTAAAGGCTATCCTGGTTCACAGAGTTCCAGCCAGAGAGGGACCCTGTCTCGAAAACCAAAACAAAACAAAAGTTTATCCTGATTTTTGTAAGTCTGTACGTTTGTAAGTATGTATGTAGATCTATAGCAGGCTGGCCTTGAACTCACAGAGACGCTCCTGCCTGTGGCTCCCGAGTGCTGGGATTAAAAATGTGAGCTATCCTGATTTTTTTGTTTTGTTTTGTTTTTGTTTTCAAGACAGGGTTTCTCTGTGTAGCTTTGAAGCCTGTCCTTGAACCATCTGTAGACAGGGCTGGCGCGACCTCACAGAGATCCACCTGCCTCTGCCTCAGGAGTGCTGGGATTAAAGGTGTGCCACCACCACCCGGCTGATGTTTTTTTATTAAAGGGTTTAAGTTATGCAGGCTGAACTCTAAAGCCCATCTAATAAAAACTGAATGCTAGGCTGGTACGGGAGGATGCAGCTCAGTGAGAGAGCTTAGATTCGAAAGTCCCTGGATTTGAAGCCCAATGCTACCAGATTCATAAACAAACAAGCCAATAAATACAAAATCCCAGACACAGTGGTCCTTGCTTGTAATGCTAGCACTGAAGTAAAGTTGAGGCGGGAAAATAAGATGAGTTTGAGGCTAACCAAGGCTACTCAGTGGGACCCTGTCTCAAAAACTATAAAGATCGCTAGGCACTGGTGGTAGACAACTTTAATCCCAGCACTCTAGAGGCGGAGGCAATTGGATCTCTGTGTGTTTAAGGTCAGCCTGTTCTACAGAGTGAATTCTAGGACAGCAAAGGTACACAGAGAGACCCTGTCTGGGGGGAAAAAATATATATATATATAAATATATAAACATATGTATATATTTATATATATGGCTGAGTCGTAGACCTCTAAATTCAACCTTTAGTACCACAAAAGGGAAAAAATATGTAAGCATGTATATAATTTTCTGGTTATTTTGTTTGTTTTGTTTTGAGACAGTGTGTGTCTTGTAGCCCTGGCTCACCTGGAACTCACACTATGTGGACCAGGATGGTCTCTAACTTGGAGAAATCTGCCTGTGATGACCTCTGAGTGCTTGCACTAAAGGAGTACACCACCACACCGTATATGGTTGTTTTGTTTGTTTGTTTGTTTTTCGTTTTTTTGTTTTTTTGAGACAGGGTTTCTCTGTAGCTTTTGGAGTCTGTCCTGGAACTCACTCTGAAGACCAGGCTGGCCTCAACCTCACAGAGATCCACCTGCCTCTGCCTCCCGAGTGCTGGAATTTTATGTGTATTTTTTTTAAAATTTTCCTGAGGATTGAACCTACGACCTCGTGAATGCTAGATAGGTGTTCTACCATGAAGTTACAGACACTGTTACCCCACTTTGTTTGTAGTCCTGCCTGAGGCTGCATAAGAATCTCAGGCTTGCCTAAGACTTCTTTTTCGGTTTGGTTCTGGTTTTTTGAGACAGTGTCTCATATAGCCTGGTCTTATTTATAGCAGAGGCTACCCTGCACTCCTGTGCATTTTTGAAACACATTTGTTTATGTGTGCATTTACATGGGTGCATTGCAGTGTATGTGCACAGGTCAGAGAACAGCCACACCACAGCTTCTACCAAGTAGATGCAGGGACCAAACTCAGGTCATCAAGTATGGCAGAAAGCACCTTTATCTGCCAAGACAGGCTCAGGCCCTCTTTGTTGTTGTGTTTTCGAGACAGGGGATCTCTGTAGCCCTGACTAGCTTGGAACTCTGCCTCCCAAGTGCTTGGATTAACTGTGTGGGCTACCTACCACACCTGGCGCTCTCTCTTACTCTTTTGAGACAATCCCAAGAAGCCCAGGCTGCCCTTGAAGTTGATATGTAGACGAGGATGACCTTGTTCTGATTGCTGAGAGTGTAAATAACGGTCCGTCTCCTACTCCCCATCCCCAGCCTGAGCCCAGACTTCCTAACTAAGAGCTACCCTAGTATCTGCACTTCTCTCTTTTTCCCAGCTTCCGCCCAGAGGCTGATGGGACTTCCTTATTTTTCTTCATTTCAGGCTGTGGTGGCACAAGAAGGCCAGCGATAGACCTCATGAGACTTTCCCGGCTCTTTTCTGGCCCCCACCCCATAGGACTGTCTGTCCTCCAACACTGGGATCTTCTTGGATCCACCCGATGGACAGGAGGCAAGGAGGGACTTGCACAGCTGAGGTCGGCATGGCCACATTGGCAGGTGTCGGCAGCCTTCTGCAGCTCTTCTTCCCACCTACCCCTGGGCCAGGGGAGCCAGAAGAAAGTGGGCAGCTTCTCTTCTGACTCCAATAAGCTCAGCACTGTGGCTCCTCGGGAAGAGGAGGAGGACGAAGAGAGCTTTGGGACCCTCTCTGACAAATACTCTTCCCGGAGACTATTCCACAAGTCAACAGCCCAGCTGTATAATCTACAGCTGAAGGAGCAGGGTGTCGAAGAGGAAGAATTGGAGCCCAAACTGTGGCAGGGCCGAAGGAACACTCCATACTGGTACTTCTTTCAGTGCAAACGTCTGATCAAGGAAGGAAAGGTCCGAGAACCTTGAGGTCTTCCTTTCTGCTGGGTTGACATATGTGGGGCAGTACAGCCTTCCCAGTTGTTGAAATTGGAACGTTCATTGCTCAGTCCTTGGATCTCTATTGTTTTTGTGCACAGATGAGTGTTTGTGCCATGGTGCACATGTAGAAGTCAGAAGACAATATGGTAGAGCTGCTTCTTCCCTCCCACCTTTATATGGGACCCAGGGATCGAATTCTGGTCACTATATTTACACTGCAAGTGCCTTTATCTGCTGAGCCATATCGCTAGCCCCCTAGCTATCTTTAACCCACTACATGGTAATCTTTTCGTCCATTAAGACATTTCTTTGGGTCACAACTTGTTCTTTTAACAGCTCGACCTCTAAACTGTTTCCAGCTCTAGCTCGTTTGAATAGTTCCACCATTCTTTCCAGGCTGTCTTGCTGTGTCGCCCTGGCTCACTGGCACTCACCATGTAGTTCAGGTTAGCCTTCCACTCATAGTCTCCTGCTTCAGCAAGAGTGCTGGGATTACCTAGCATATGCCTCTACACCCAGATTATTTGTGCGCCACCATGCCTGGGGGTAGCTATTATTTCAAATAAGAAAAAGGAGTGAGAGCTGGGCATAGTGGCACACACCTTTAATTCCAGCACTGAGACAAACGTATCTCGGAATTGGAATCCAGCCCAATATACATAGTTATACCCTGTCTCAAAAAAGAAAGGAAGAAAAAAAGAAAGAAAGGGAAAGGAAGGGGAAGGGAGAAAAGAAAACAAAAGAGAGAGTCGAAATTGGGCTAGGAATTCAGTTTAGGGGTAAAGTGTTTTACAAGCATGTGTAGGCATTGGGTATGATCTCCAGAACAACAACATCGAAAACAAAGAATAAGGAATGAAAGTATGTACTAAAGGGACAGGACAGTGTAGAAAATTAGAGATGCGGCCAAGGCCACTTTGGGCAGAAGTTTGCAGTGAGAAGGAGGTGTTGTCCTGTATCATGTCAGAAGGGTCCCTCTACCTCCCACCCTTTGCTGGCAGCCTTTGATTTGGGGGGGGGGGGGGTTTGTTTTGAGATAATATTGTATGAATCCCAGGCTGTTCTGAAACATGTTGTGTAGCCTAGAATGGCTTTGATCCCCCTGCCAAATGTATGCCCCACTCTCCTTGGCTTGCTAAAGGTCTCTGAAACCATCCTGAGCCCTCTTTCACACTGGCTTTTTACCTAGCTGGCGGAGGCCCTGGATTTGTTTGAGAGGCAGATGCTGAAAGAAGAGCGCTTGCAGCCTTTGGAATGCAACTATACGGTGCTGATTGGGGGCTGTGGGCGCGTCGGCTACCTGAAGAAGGCCTTCAAACTCTATAATGACGTGAGTGTGGGCCACAGTAATAGGGCCAAAGCTCTGAAATGCATGCTGGGAGCAGATCCTGAGCATAATGCCACTATGGGCAGACGACATGGTTTGTTGACATTGAATCCAAATTGTGTTCTTGGGGAACTGAGTAGGTGACAAGAGACATGCTTAGTTATGCGCCTGGGCTGCTAGGAGCCCACATGTCCCTTATTTCTCTGCTACCATGCCTAGTTAGTCTGTATTCCTCTCCACATCATCCACAGTTGCTCACACAAACCCTGCTTCTGTTCCTTCATGAATCAAAAAAGAACCTTACATGGGACAGTTGTAGACTCAAACAAGATACAACCCATCTTCTGGGGCCAGAAGCTAAGGGAGTCCTTATATTAGCAGAC